ATGTCTTGCAGATTGTAAGAGACCATGATGCTGGCCCAGAATAATATACCTAGCAAAATTTTCAGTCACTATAGATAGAGAAAACAAGATATTTCATGAAGAAGTCAAATTTCAACAATATATTCACAAATCCAACTCTACAGAAGGTACTAGAATGATAACTCCAACCCTAGCAAATTATCTACAGCCAGGAAAACACAGGAAGTAAATAATCTAGTGAACATAGAGAAAGATTTCACATTAGTGAGCAAGAGTTCCATGATGCCAGAGGGTGGGGCAAAGGGTCGACAGAGTGGGAGAGAAAATGCATCCGGCTCCCATAAAACCCTACTCCGCTAAAGTCCTATAGAAAAGGAAGGACACGGTGTGTGCTTTGCTGAACATCACCTTCCTTCCTGGATATAAACTTTCAGTGTGTAAGTGCCCCCGAGGCAGCAGGCTTCTCAGGGGATGTTTATGGTATCACCCATGTATTCTGGCAAAAATTGAGCTATGGAATGCACTTTTCATGAACTAGCTCACGAATTTTGTGAAAGCGAAGATCTAGGCTGCTGCATAAGGTTGAAATGAATTTTTGCGAGGCCTTGTTTCTGCTGTCTAGCAAACCTAGGCTGTATTTCCCTGTTCTAGTTCACTGTCTTATATGATTATGTCGCTCTGTGTTGCTCCATTTAAAATGAGGTAAACTCAGCAATTCCCCTTTTCTTAAACTGCCTCAGTAACCAGCACTTAGCCATATTAAAAGCTTTAGCTAGAAGACTATAAGAATAGTCTAATAGTCCCTAGCAGGTAACTACATTGGAGCCAGTTCTCCTTTCAGGGATGTATAGCAAGGTCAAATGAAATGACCATGGAAGGACAGGCTGTGGGAGCGAGGGGAAAGGCAACTGACATTCAAAGGGCAACAGTGCATTGTGTGGAAAACGTTTTGTGTAAATGTTAAATAGGGCCCGCATTTAACCACCTGCTTCTTGTTTAGAAGGGTTCAAATGAACAATTTCAAGCACAATTGAGTTACACTCAAAAGAAAATCAAGTGTAATTTCCTAAGTTGCTGAAGCAAGGGTTCTTCTATGGAATAGCCATTAGTTGTTCTAAATTCGATTTGGTTATACTTGAAATTTAATGCACACAGTTCAGCGGCACCTGGAAATTTCTCCATGCAGAGAGAGAATGACAAGGTAGACCTTTTTCAGTGGAGGGGAGAGTGTGTGCTTTTAAAAATTGCCTGGGCCATATTTATTATGCTAAGTGAGTAGAGAAGAAATATTTCAGTCCTCCCCATCCCCACAGTGATACTATGTTGCATTGCTTCAGAGACACAGCAGGCCATCTTGAAATCCTTGGCCTATGTAACAACATCTACAACCATTTTCCAAGGAGGGAGATAGGGCACTGAGGAGTCTTCACGTTACTTTGACAAGACTATTAAGTCAATGCTTCCATCTGCTTTTACTAAATGCTGGCTCCATGCAAGTAGTGTGCCTTCAAATCTTTAGAAGCTCCCTTAAGGACAGCATCTAGCAAGAAGAGCTGGTCTTTATACATTGCCTCCGTTCTTTCTGCAGGTTACTCAGGGCCATGAATGGCATTCCTGCCTGCCTGGGGATTTCTTACCAGAGAGTTTTTTCTCACATTGAACTCATACATATATTCCCTGCCCTGGAAGCTTCAGCTTGTCCACTTCCTTGATCCTCCATCTGAATTGGCACATAGGTCCTATGTCTTTGCTGACTTTTAATATTTGTGCCCACAGCAAGTACGTTTATGATTCTGTTTGTTTAGAATAGCTCTATTTCTCCCCTCTAGAGGGAGATTGTTTCTATGCTCCTGCCTTGTCTCCTTCTGAAATGCTGTCTTGTTTTCTTGTCATTAAATATTTATTACAACTTCAAGAATTTAGGAGTTATTTAATTTACTCTGAAAGTTCTTGAAAACCATTCTCTTTAAGCAAATGTTTGCTCAGTATCCCTTGTGGTGTTATATCATTTTCAGATTACATAATACACAGAGCAATATACACTTTCCTGGCTTGGCTTTCTAAATGGTATGTACTTAATTCATAAGTCATAATGAAATATCGCTGACAAGGACTCTTAGGTCAGTGTGTATTTAGGATTAATATCTGATAAATATTTATTGACTAAGAGATGAAAGAAAAATAATAATAAAATGTGTTAATTATGGAAGTGATCATAATTATAATGTTGTTAGATACAGTACTAACAACCAATCATGGGGTGTATATGAAAAATCTCTCAGATGAAATCATTATAACTTAAACAGACTTTAAGAAAGCTACCCAATGCAAGCTTTAATAATTTTCAGAATACTTACTGCCTCTAGAATTCAAGAAGCCTTATGGAAAAATCTTACTTGCTGTCTAATTTTAGGGTCTCCCAATGTCTAGAAATATATCCTAATGGGGAAAAGCATGTATCCAATTTCAAGTAAACGCTCTAGATAAAGTATTTCATTAGCATGAGTTTCTACAAATTTTTATTTAAAGCATAAGACGCTGAAATTGGAAAAATGATGGCCCGAGGAAGAAAAAGCCACCACTAGACACCAGAAACCAACTCACTTAAATTGTTTCACATTCACTGAAGTCACTGAAGCCTGTCTCTACAACCACAAGCTACAGCTGGGGCTGAAACCAGTTGAGAATTGACTTAGCCTTTGTTAATCAATGCTATTTACCTAGCATGATGGACCCTATCTGTTATCCCAGCACTCGGAGGGCTAAAGACTGCTGTCACTTTGGGGGCAACACAGCGAGTTCAAGGCCAGCTAAGATATATAGTAAAACTTGGTATCAAAAGCAATGTTTTATTTCATTCTATTTTTATTTTTTTTTTGAGGAGAGTAAGTGAATAAAAAGTATATTTACTGGTGAAATATTGGAGGCCAGACCTGACAGGGACTTTCCCTGAGGCCCTGTTGTATAGAGAAGGAATTAGCTTGGCAAGGCTAGTGATGACCAGTGGTCAGGCCCTTGAGCGAGCTGCAGTTTGGGATCCCAGGAACTCATCTCCTCTCCCTGCATTGAAGGGCTGTGGCTCTCAGTCTCAAGGCCACGAGGGAGCCATCATTCTGTGGAGCTGTAGACATTTCCGGTGTTCCCTCTGAGTGGCATTGCTGGGTCAGTTTCCAGCTGACTTTGTCCCACGGGGTAACAGGTTTCTGCTGACTGTGTTCCTTTCTCCCCCTGGAAGCTGTTCATAGGCTCTGTACTTCTTAATATACTGTAGATGTCAGACACAGCTGGTGTAGGACCTCCTGCCTGCAGCTTTTCTATCTCCATTTTTCCTCATCTCCTAGTCTTCCCTCTCAGGGACACATCGCAGAAGACCCACATGCTGGACCAGGTCAGTGAAAGTGCATACCTGCCAAGAAGATCCACAGCTATGGATTGACCCCGCTAACTATTCAGAAGCTCATTGAGCTGCACAGACTTTGCATCTTCCTCATTTTAGTAAGAGATCGTGTTTGGTTTGGTTGGGTTTTGTTTTTTTTTTTTTTTAATTTGCAAGTTCTTTTTAGTAGATAAGCAAATAAGAATACAATTGTTTTAAAATAACAATTGCTTATGCAACTGTTTAGCACCAAGTTAATACAAGATCACTGATGTGCTTATTAACAAAGCTATTCCCCTCAAAAGAAAATTAAAAAGAAGTAAAAGAACTTCAGAGCTTTTACCAAAAGTGAAACCAACATAGTATTCTTCCTTGTTTGCTAAGTCCCCAATGCATCAAAAATGTGATATTGTTCCTAAATAATTGTCATTAGTTAAGGCAAAATGTTCTCCAAGTTATGGCAGACATTTGGAGATAGTGAGATCTCATTGGGCAAATAATTTACTGCTTTTAAGGTTTTCAAACTGTATCTTTGACAGGCGTGGTGGCACACACCTTTAATCCCAATGCTCAAAAAACAGAGGCAGGCAGATCTCTGATTTCAAGGAAAGCCTGGTCTACAAAGCAAGTTCCAAGACAGCCAAGGCTACACAGAGAAACCATGTCTTGAAAACACAAACACAAGAAAGAAAAAAAAAAGAACACTTCAAATACCTGAATCCAGTACTTAGGGATTTAAACCCTGTGACTCTCTATCCATCTGCAGGTTGGAAGACAAAGCCAACTCGTGCTAAATGCACTAAAAAGCAATGGGGAGGAAGCTCACGGTGGATGGTGACGGAAGTACAGGAAAGGCCGCATCCTGCCAGACACCGGTGATGCAAACATATGGAGGGAAAGGACATTCCAGGCAACAACCTAGGACAGATGTATGTTTGAAAAGCCCAAGAAACAGCAAGAAGTCAGAGTCTAAGGATGAAAATGGGGATACCAGAATGAAGACAGAATGTATTTTGTGCGTTGGAGAGGTCTGTGAGTGAGTGGAGTGGTTATAAGTTTTAAGATTGATAGAAGCTCGTTTAGGCTTGAGACCAAGTCAAGCTAACAGCTCTTCAATGAATTAAGTTTAAAATGCAAAATGGGCCAGGGAGGTCGAGAGTGACTCAGCAGTAAAGATCTCTGGCTGCTTTTCCAGAGGACCCCAGTTCAATTCCCAGCACCCACATGGCGACTCACAACCATCTGAAATGCCAGTTCCAGGGGATGCAACACCCTTCTCTGGCCTCTGTGAACACTGCGTGTGCTTTGTGCACCTATACACCTGTAGGCAACACACACACGCACACACACACACACACGAAATTAAAAACTGGGAAAAATTAATGCCAAATATTGAAAAGATAAAACCCTTAAGAACATATTGTCCTCAATATCATTCAGAAAACAGCTTTAAATAAGTGTGTCTTCTGGTTTTGAAATTCTGAAATTCTCAATAACTTGGTGGGAAAGAAGGAAAGAAAGGAGGAAAGAAGGGGGTAAGGGAGACATTCCAGCACTACCAGACCCTAGTACTCATCCCCGGTACGCTGCATACAAATATAAACACAGTTGTGAAATCGAATATGAGCACATGGACAGCAGCATATGACACATTTTCTTTTATTTAAAATAGAGTTCTTTATGCTTTACAGAAACAAGTGCAAGGAGTGCTTCATTTATTGTCTTTGCCACTTTACAAAACAATATGCTTTCCGAAAATGCATACATAAAAATATAACATTTAGGCAGAGAAGTATGTACACCTGGAGGCAGCAGGAAGTTATGCAATAATATTAACAAGCTTTAAAATAAATACTTTTATGACTTGCTGTTGGCAAAGTTAAACGTTTGGTATGAAGGCTATCGCTGAGCATGTACTAAGTTCTAAAATATGATTATTTCTAAACAATATAAGTATATATTACTATCAAATGCATATGTTCACAGATTCGAAATTCATGAAACATCTGAATGTTTCTGGGACGTTTCTGAATGACTCTGGAACTCTGCTCAACCATCAACAAGGAAAACCCAGCTACACACTACAATTCCCATCTGCACATTTTGGATACAACTTATCACCCAGTTCTTATTTTAAAAACCAATTTATTTTTTTTTCACAGTCTCTATATACATTCATTGGAGCCTGTCTGTGGGAAGGAGCAGCTTTTTCTGTACTTAAGATTATCAGCTAGCTTACCAAGAAGGTCTTTACAACAGTGACTCTGTTCACAGTAGTTCAAGAGTTCAAGGCATGTTTTTGCAATGTCAAAATGCAATGGTTTTGACATGTGTAATATGTTCTTAGGTATAAGAGGAGTCACACTACCCAAAGAAAAGTATAATTAGTATTAGCGCTTTGAAAATCAATCCAAAATCCTTTTTTTAAAAAAATCTGAATTTAATTTTCTCTTTTTAGACCATTTTAAAACCTGAAACACCAGTCAAGTGTGGATGACCTTATCCAGCCTAGGGTCAGGAGAGTACACGATATATGTCATTCTGGAGAGGAGCTAGAGTCTAATATTCTACAGATACCCTCATCTGATAAAGAGAGCAGAAAATGGCTGGATCTTTAGAAATACTATTTCACCAATGAAAAACTGAGTGTATTGATAAATATCTGTCTGTGCTTGACTTTCTTAGAGCCTGACACACAAGCCGCCCTTTACAGGAGAAGCAAATGAACAGTTTCAACCGTGGAATAAAAACTCAATGAATGGCTAGAAATCAAGGTCGCTGTGCCTTGCTGTAGATGATTTGGGGAAGGGGGGGGGAAATCTCTCAACAGGATAAACATTCTGTCTCGTTCACTTGTGGCAACACTGAGTCAAAGTACTTATTCTTCTAAATTATGTGTTCAGTTTGCATATGTCAAGAACCATTTTTAAATTTAGCTCCCATTTCTGAATGATGGATAACCCAGGCACGTGTAGCACATATATGTGTATGTGTGTGCATACATACATATGTATATGATAGAGAAGTGCATCGTGTCCTTTTCTGTGAGTTACAGAATTGTGTCAAGAGGGAAGAGCCCATTGCAATGCTCACCTCAGTCCCCAGCTGGCCTGGGCTATGCATTCCCTGTGGAGAATGTGGGATACTGGAAAGAGGTGAATCTCCTACACACTCAGGCTCTTGGTGGATGTGTTAATAGGCAGATTCCTAAAACCGGGGATAGAAGTGCTCCAGTGATAAGTGTTGGGTCCAGGAAGTCACTTCTTATGGTATAACATAGACCAACAAGGAGGAAATGTATTTCTGGCATTATTAAAATGAGGATGAGACGGAATTCATTTTCTCATGAATGTTATGTTCATTTACAACTAACTGGAGAAGAATTTTGGCAGTTATCAATATCAAACTTTAAAGCGGAGATTGTCACCCAATTCCAGTCTATTCTACATTCTAAAGAGCCTGGCACATGGCTTAATCTAAAATCATGGCAGAAGCTTGGCTGGAGGGATGGCTTAGCAGTTAAGAACACTGATTTCAGAGAACCAAGGTTTGCTTCCCAGCATCCACATGGCAGCTCACAACTACCTGCAATTAAAAGTAGTTCCGGGGGATCTGACTCTTTCTTCTGGCCTCTCCAAGCCCTTAGGCATGCACATGGTACACAGACACACATCGATCCACCCATAACACACAAAAATAAATAAATAAAAAATTCTAAAAGGATGGCAGAAGTACAACAATCCAGTGGCATTGATTGCCACTAAAGAACTCAAGCACTCACCTTATGGGACATGTATTTCACAGTCTTTGTTCAAGTCCGCTGCTCAAGCCGAATTCAGCATTAAACCAGAGCAGGCTTTCTTTACTCCTTAGCTAAAAGCTAGAATATAACTAGACAGTCTGACTAAAGTTTAAGACGAAGTCATAGCAGCCATTAGCCAAGCCCTCTTCCCGGTGCCAGGAGAATAATCACCAGTGAAGTGATGAGGCGAAACCTCTTACACATGGTGGGGAAATTCAAACCTTGTGAAGAAGTTCAGTGGGTAACAGTCTGGACAGTGCTCAAATACACAAAAGGACAGAGCTGTGGCGTGATTTGGGTTTAGGAAATCTGCCACTTGGTTGGAGGGGAAGCAATGCTGAAGACAAAGGTAATGAGAGAAACAGAAGACAGATGACATTAAACACAGCCCCCAATTCATGTACCAAGTCATCTTTCTCCTACTCCAACAGAAGGGAGATGGCCAATATATGTAGGAAGGAAGCAGGGGGAAGAGTCTGGAAGCTTCTCTTATTGTTACTCACACTAAATATTTTCTTTTCTCCCTTCCTCTTCCTTCTTTTTCTCTCTTCCTCTTTTCACTGCTGGGGACTCAATCCAGGTCCCTGCACCTGCTAAGAGAGCCCCCTGCTGATGAGCCTCATCTCCAGCCTGCACCAAGAACCTCACCCTTGAATTCTTCCGTGGCATTTTCAGTTTTATCAGCACTCCCGGGCTTGTCCACCTAGCTCGATGACTATTTTAAAACCCTTGTTTTTGCCCATTTTCTTTTCTCCTGCCGATCAGGGAGATTTACTTGAGTGGAAATACGAAAAGAAGTAGCATTTGACCATCAGCACTGATGATATGTTACGGCAATAAACTACCCAGCAGGCTAAGATGCATGCTGATTAGCTTTTTAATTTGTAAAAGTTGGCGAGGCTGCAGAAGTAGGCGTCACCGTTGCGTTTTATGACAATCAGCAGCCATCCTATGTCTGATCTTCTTCATCTACAACATATTGGAATCAAGTTACAAGGGTCAGAGTCGCTTTAGCTTTTACAATTCTCATTTTCACTTTGCACTGTGGCACATACGAAATACTTTAGATCACTAAGAGATTTTTTTTCCATCATAAATCTGAAATTCTGTGATGGTTAAGTTAAATAATAGCTATGCTTAAAAATAATTAAGAAGTAGCTATAATTTTGGAAGATGGTGAAAGAACTTTAAGCTTAAAAGTAGATGAAAATAAGGAAACAAAAAAGTTAGAGGGCAAAAAGAAAGCCAAGCACCTCAAAGTTTTCATTAGAATTATTTGGGGGAAAAATTGTGTACAGTGTAGAAATTCTGATTAATTTTAGATTTTTAGAGAATGTTTTACATTCTAGATTTTTTTTTTGGTTTTGTTTTTTAAAAAAAATTCTGAAAAAAACTAAAAGCCCTTAAAACTATGACCGTCTTCTCATAGTGAACAAAATCCAAGTGATTTTCACAAATAAAAAGAGAATAGCTTCAAAAACTACAATGACATCATTGAAGGACATTAAACATCAACATTTCTAAGTAGCTGGTAAATGTTGGTTTTAAAGTCATATAAAGGAAATGACTATTGAATGCCTCAGCTACCAATTTTGATACATTTACTCTTGTTCCTTAGCTGCTTGATAGGAAATCAAAGTTTCCACGTTTTAAATGAATTTATAAAATTTCATGTTTACTTTTAATCAATCAAAAACTATTCTCTCTCGAGTAATTTTTAAGTTGTTCTCTTGATCCCTGTGTGACGGCAGATGCCTGCTTCCTGCCTTCAGGAAATGCATTAAGTGGTCCCCTGGGTCTTTTGCTTAGACTCCCAGATTGCCCTGAGTTTGCTCTGCCCCAATAAGTCACATGGTGGCAAAATTCCAGGACAGTAGACTTCTCTTTTGTTTAATCATTCTGCAATAGTTGAAGCATTCAAAATGATAAGATATTGTGGAACTTACGATCTAATGAATGTATTGTCGATATTTCATTTTAAAATAAAAGCGGATTTTAAATTCTTCAGACATTGCAATCAGGTTACTATCTTCATACAATTATGGAAATTTAAAATGCAAAGTTAATTGAAAGTATAAAGATGAAAAGCAAGTGCTATGCTTAAAATAGAGTACGACAGTCATGTTTCACTTAACTCTCAAGGCAGAACATAAATTAGGAATTCTAGATGTGACATGCCAAATATTTTAGACATGTAAGAATGCATACAACAGAATTGGTACTGATTACAAACTTAAACGCACGACTTATAAGGCAACAAATTCATGCTCAAATGTTGACAACAAATAATGCTTCTCATATTTCAAGAAGGGATGCTGTGTAGAAACCCCATCATTTCTGCACACAGTACTAAAATTCATAACAGCATTTCTAAGTTCTATGCTATACCCAGAGCCAAAATATCCATAAGGAGCAAAACAATGATGTCACTGTGCACCTAGCCTAAGAAGGTATTTTTACTCATAACAATTTTTAAAAGAAACAAGTATCACATGACATTCCATTAAAAACACGTAGTCTAAAATTGAACCACATAGGTATGTACAGTAAATCTGACTTATTCTTTAAATGTTCCTCTACTTTTTAATAAGTGAGCAGTGTCTATGTATAATTGTGTGTTGAGAGGTAAGGAAAAACTGTAACTTCTACTGTTTTCCCTTACACTTTTGTTTCTCTGTCCTTCAAGATCATCACAATTCAACAGCAGAAGAACAAGCAAAATGTCTCAAAACATACTAATTTGTGGATTTCTCCACAGTGAAATCTGAATCAATAAAATATAAGTTACATTTGTATACTCTCAAATAAATTATAAAACCTAAAGACAAAGAAGATGCTAAAAACACCCTCTCTTTAAAAACCTAGTAAATATATTCACAGAACAGTGGTAAACAGAACAGAATATATTAGGTTTATATTGAAGATTTGAATACAATCGCCTAAGTAATTTCATTTCCTTCATGAAGAAACTGTGTGCAATAAGGGAATAAGCACAAGCCAGATCACCCCTTTCACACAGTTCTTTTCAATACCCATTCACACAGGCACACCTTTTCGATACTGATAATATAATTAGACTGTAATATCTAAATAAAGATCTTTTCTAAATGTGTTGCAAATTGGAAGTGATTTTTCAGACCTAGTCTCTAAAGCATTGTCACGCAGAACTCAAGACATCCCACTGCATATTTTATCTGTCAATTTACTTTCTCCCCTCATACTCTTATGCCTTTTCCCACTCCCAAATTAGACTTTAAAATCCCTGAGGGCAGGACCTATCTATCTTTTTATTCCCTCTTGTACCCAATATTGTGGCAAGTGAGTTACGGGGTGCTCTGTGCCTATAAATGGATGAATGTATCACTGGAAATGGAAATACAGGCAAGCCCTATAGTCATCAAGGCATTTGTGTCTCTTATCTCAACTTAAATCAAATGAGCTGGATCCGGTAGCATATTGGCACACCAAAATGTACACACCAAGTTGGATTTTTGTGGAAAACTTAGGTGTATCCTTTGGAACGTTACTCTCTGTGTTACACTTTGTAGAACATCTAAACGCTGGATAGTAAAAACTTTGCCCTACCTCTAATAAAAGGATTGCACTGTACTTGGTCAAACGTTTGTCCTTGGAGACATCCAGGTCAGGTGTGTTTATTGCCAGAAGCGTCAAAGAACTGTCTGGCTCCTGACGATGCTGTCAGAGAACACTTAAGTTCTGAGAACATCGAGGCAGAAGCCTGTTCTGAGGAATGGGCTTTGGGAACACCGAAAGGCATCGTGCTAAATCCCCTCCACTAAAGCAAAACAGCACATTTGAATGAAATATCCGGTGTTCCGTTAAATATTTCCGACCTCAAAAAAGGAGGCTGGGGCAGAGCCTGCAAAACTCTCCACACAGGGTTCCTCTTAAAAGGCCAGGAATGTCTTCTCATAGCCAGTGCAGTCCTCTCTGTTCTGGTCAGTGGTTAAATTCTTCTGAAAGAATTCTCTTAATTCTCTTAATTAATCTTTCCTGGTTTACCTTTCTGTCATTTTTCTTCCTAAATATGCACCCTTAAATTAACTGCATCTTAAGACATGCATCTCTAGACTATGTATGTTTATAATTGGTCAATCTTTGGCAATGTTCAGAAAACATTATCTCATTAATGAATAGGATAATGATGACATTTTATGAGGAAATGCTAGTAGATTGGTTCTGAGGATCTAGCAAATCCATTATGTTCTTATAAAACACTCAGTACGCTCTCTACATGACTAAATTAAGACTATCATCACTGAAGATGTCCCCTCTTAGGAAGAAAAGAACTATGGGAAATCAAAGAGAACATAGCAGGTCAGCTGACTTCACAGTGTTCATTCTCACAGGGTTTGCTGTCATCTCTGGCATGAGCTCTGTGACTCTGAAACATTTCACAGTGTTCAAGACATTGGAGACTTCCTTTAGATATCAGAAGCAATGGCTCGGGTGGCTTTCTAACTCCTTAGGGGCTGTTGTAGAGGTGAAGACGTGAGTGGCAAGCAGGGAAAGAGAGAGCGAGTACGGAGAGCATGACCTTGCTCTCATATCCTGCTGATGGCCTCCACCGTTCAGGCTTTAGATACCAAAATTCTGAGCAATAGTAACTTTTCAAGGGTCCAGATCATTTCTAAAGTTCTATTTCACTATAATGTGCCCTCGTTTACATTTTTTAATATGTTTTCATCTCATTTGTGTGTGCTCTTGGTTCAAGTAAAACAAAAGTTGTTTTATTTTGACTATTTTCTGTAGCTTATTTTATACTCATAACATCTTCCTCCTTAAATAAAACAAAATGAGTGTGTCACCTTTAAAAAATAAAACAAATGGCAACATGAAGATTGGAAAAGTCGAGACCTGCCCACGCTTAACTTTAGAGTTGTCTTTTGATGCCGCCTTTGGGACACTTAAACACTGTCGTGAGTCGTCATGAGGTAGAACTGAAACACAACATGGCAAAAAGAAGCAAGAACGTTCACACAAAGCCTGAGACACAAGCGGAAGCTGCGACCAGTGTCCTTTTGCCTGGATGTGCTGTCAAGCTTTGCAGTCTTCCTTCACACACAGCTGAGAAATGGTCTTCTTCACGCGCAGGGCTGTCAGGCGGGCCGCCCCGTTGGCGTACCAGCACTCCCGCATGATTCTCCCCATGACCCGGAGCGCCTTCAGGAGAGAAAGACCACAGGGTTAAAGGGGCACACACCAGAGGATAAACAACCCTGGGTCAGCTTCTGTAAAATCTTCTTAAAAGATTCAAACATGAACCTTGTAGATTAACCAAGTTGATCAAAACCATTGATTCTGAGACATAATGGCGGCTGTTTTCAAACTCCTCTAAGAAAGGCAATGATAGTTGAGCACTGTGTTGCAAGTCCATGGTCCCAGTACTTGTAGGCGGAGGCAGAAGCAGTAGGAATTCAAGGTCAAGCCAGCTCTGTGAGCCTCAAACCAAATAGCTAAAAAGTGGCATGAGCCATGGAGGAACATGGCGATGGTATGAATTCCCAGTTAACAGTTCTTCAGGTGTGCAAACACATGAAAAAATTCATCAAACTGAAAACTAAGACTTACACTTTCATTGTTCATAATTGCATGTTGCAAATGATGATCTGAGAATAAATATAAACAGTCAGTATGAAGAATAGTCAAAGCAAGAAGGCAGATACTGAGGTGATTTGAATAGAAATACCCCCATAGACTCATGCATTTGAATGCTTAGCCTATAGCAAATGGCACTATTAGGAGGTGTTGCTTTGTTGGAGTAGATGTGGCTTTGTTGGAAGAAGTGTGTCACTGTGAGGGCGGGCTTTGATGCCTCATACATGCTCAAGCTACTCCTAGTGTGGAAGACAGTTCTCTTCCTGTTGCCTGAAGAGCTGAGCTCCTTCTCCAGCACTGTATCTGCACTCTGCCATGTCCCACCATGATTATAGTGGACTAAACCTCTGAAACTGTAAGCTAGCTCCAATGATTTTCCTTTTTACAAATTGCCCTGGTCATCATGTCTCTTTCCAACAACAGAAACCCTAATAAGGCAGTACGTAGAGGAGAAACCAGTATAAAAGCATGAAAGATGAAGGACCCAGGGAGTTGCTGAAGCTGGGGTGCTCCACTGGTGTATGCTCATCTTCTGTTCTAGAAAATCAGAGATGAAGACCCCATGCAAAAGGAAGGAAAGTCAGCCTAAAGCATAGAGAAGGTTTAATGATGCTTTTAAAAGGACCCGAATGTGAACATGGACCTTAAACTGTCAAGATAGTTCAGTAGGTAAAGGCACTTTCTACTGAGCCTGGCAACCCTAGTTTCATCTTGAGACCCACATGGTAGAAAGAGAAAACAGATTCCTACAGGTTGTCCATTGGCTTCCAGTGAGTACACACAAGTATCTTGGTACACACATGTATTAGCACTTACATACAAGAAGATAAATGTAATAAGAATAAATGTATATGGTTGAATCTTCCCCCAATAGGAAGTTTGTAAGGAAAAACCACTTACTTTGACTTTGGGTGAAGAAAAAAAAAACTACTCAAGTTTTTCAGTAAATCTGAACTCATAAGGGAATTCTTCACTCAGAGAGTGGGAGGGGTACCAATAAGCAAGAACCAATCAAAACAAAACCCAGCAGAATCAGATCCATAAAACATCAGCTATTAAAAATTCACGGATAAGAAGTGTGCATTAAAAGAGAAGGAAAACCTGAACAACCTGTGGGGGTAAAAACAGTACTTTCAGAACCAGTAAAAAGTTCTTGGTATGAAAATAAAGGATCCAGTGGATAAGTTAAATGACAGATTAGCCACATCGGAGGTAGAAGTACAGAAGCAGAAAAGAAATCTGGGTGATCTACAGGCGCCAGTGTAGGAAATACCCAGGAAGCAAAATAGAATTTGAAAGGTTTAATAGCAGCCAATGAGATTTTCAAAAATAGAAATGGAGACAGAAAGAGAGGAATTTTCAGAAGATATATTATCACAGAATTTTCTATAAGAGAGGAATGACACAAAACCTTAGAATTAGAACAGTCTGTTTTTTTTTTTTTTTTCCAAACAAGTTTAACTACAAAACTGAGTTTGGGGGCCCATGCTCTGATACCAGCAGTGGGAGGCTAAGGCAGGAAGTTCCTACAAGTTTGGGCTACATAGTGAGAGCTTTCTTCATAAAACCTTAGGTACCTACAAACAAAAAGGCTGGCCATGGAGAAATTGCAGAGTACTAAAGACAGAGAAGTTCTTAAAAGCAGAGGGACTAGAGAGAAGGTGCATCTGTCCAGTGCACTTTTCTCTTTCACAGGACCTGAGTTTAATTCCGAGCACCTACATGGTAACTTACAGCCATCCACTGCTCCAGTTCCAAGAACCCAAAGCCCTCTTCTGATGTCCCTGGCCACCAGCTATGCACATGGTATGTATACAGATATACAGGCCAAATATTCATTTGCATAAAATTAAATTAATTTTAATGTAATTAGCCAAGCAATTAAGGGCAAAATTTTATCAAAAATCAAAGTCCATCTTTATTTAATCTTTGAAAATGTGTGTAATAGTTGTCACACTAAATAGTGAAAAACAAGCTTTAAGGAGCAAAAAGTTGCCCCCCACCAATTCCAGGTAGCTTTATACCAGAGATCCTGGAACCACAGTAAGAAAGAATGAGCAGACAGCTTTCCTGTCTAAGTGGATACCTCAAAAGAGTTAGTAGGTGTATACCTTCCAAATTTTTTGAAAATATGTGTTTATATGCTATGGTAAATAACTCTCTTTTTAGATTTTTAAGTGTGTGTGTGTGTGTGTGTGTGTGTGTGTGTGTGCGCGTGTGCTTTATAATATAGCATCAGATCTTCCTGAGCTGGAATTACAGACAGTTGCGAGCCACTACATAATTGCGGAGAACTGAATTCTGGTTCTATGTGGAAACAGCAAGTGGTCTAACCACTGAGTGATCTCTCCAGTCCCTGCAATGGATAGTCTGCCAATTGGGTGATTTTTGCCATATATTTGTGCATATCTTGAAAAAAATCTAAATAAAGTCAGGTAACAATAAGATATCATTAATATTAATATTAACCACTCAGCAAGGCAGAAAGTTCCTCAAAGATTTCGGAATGTTCCACTTTTCAAATTGCATATTCACAGGTTTTAACTTGATTATGTAAAATATTTTAAATATTTTAAGGTATTTTAAACTTTACCAATTCATATACCTATGTAGTTAAAACCAGTAATAGCCAGGTCTGCTGGTGCAGGCCTTTAATGAAGTCTTTCAGCTCTGTTATACAAGACTCAAAGCCTGATCCTCAAATAAACAGAGTTGAAATAACTACACAATGATAAAAAAAAAAAAAAAAAGTAAGACTTGCCTTACATAAAAGAGCCAAAATCATGGGGGAAGGGAACAGTTGGGGTAAAAAGGTGACTACATAAAACAATCCTATAACATAATAAGTAGTAACAGTGTCACATAAAATGGTCTTATTTATTACCCAAATAAAGGCATAAATATACAGTAGTGATTGGAAGGGGAAATTGAACCACATAATTGGGGGAGAAGGCTGCCTTTCCTCTCTCTGTCAGAGCTTATGGGAGGCAGGATAACCACTGTGTATTGTGTGGCTGTCATGCTTGGTTTACAGTCCTGGATTGCTTATGCTGACAAGACAGATAACAGCTGGATCTACGGTAAGGGCTCTTTTCTGATGAGGAAGGCTAAACTTCAGGCAGCTTGAAATTAGGCATAAATTATCGATTACAATAATAATGAGCCATTGATTTTGCCTATGTCCTTCAGTTCCTTGCCCCTTGCAGTGTGGTGGTACCATGTGACTGGAAACCATGTTTCCCTTGTGACATGCACTGAAAAGTCAGGGTGTGAACACCTGCTTCCTCTCTCTGCGAGACACAGAGACCTGGAAACAGCAAGAAGCAGTGCGAATTAATGACTACTGAGCCACCTCGGTGAGGACGGATGTCGCAGACTATGTCACTTAAGCCACAGAGGACTTCAGAGAATCACTGTTGTCAGAAGCCATCAGGTCTTCAGAGGCTCGTGTCAAGGATGCATACCACTTAAGGGGACAAAACCCTCTAAAGACATTAAAAATAAAAAGGTCATCCCTCCATACATGGAATGGACTATGTGCTCTGAAAATCCTCACTGATGTTAATCTGAAGAGTAAAACAGAAGGAAATCAGAAGAACTCAGCATGTGTTGATCTCCAGTGGATGAAGAGGAGGGCAGCGAGAAGGAGGAAGCTGGGGAGGGAAGAAGCAGAGGGAGGAGGAGGATGCAGGAAGGGGAACATAAGAGCCTTACTTCACAGCTTTGCCACTGGTTTGGGATATTTGGTCGGAACTTCTGGTCACAGACAACCTTCCTCATGTCTTCTATCGAAGGATCCGAAGGCACCATGTCATAATAAGGCAACTGGTACTCCTCCACCATTCCTGTAAGAAATTTGCAGGGTAAATTCTTCTACATACGCAATCAATAATGATGTGTATTTCAAACTAGTGCGCTTAGTTCTGGCAGGCATGCATGATGGCCTAGAAAAGTGTAATCTCACTTTTGTTAAAATAGTATATCACTATTAGACAGGATTCGGTTCAAATCACTCAGTTAAGTACTCATGCAAAGTTATGACATTTTATAATATAAAAATAAATATAATAAAATGGATATAGTTATCATATGTAATATATAAAACCCTGCATAAACATATATAATTTTATAACAATACAAAATAAAGCAAATATGCCTCCGATAAAAATAAAGTAACTTTTATTTTCATATATTATCATTATATGGTTCAAAAATTATCCCGATTGCCATATTTATAGAATAGCATCATTGTGCTGTAAATAAGTATATTTATCTATCAAAGCAGCATTTTTGGGGGGAGGGGTTGGTTTGAAAGTTTTAGGTAGTTGGTTTAGCCGGTGAGGCACTGCTTCCAAGTCTGACACAGTAATGCGATCTCCAGATTCCACAGGGGCAGAAGGAGAAAATCCAGTCTCACGAGCTGTCCTTGACCTGCATATGAGCTCTGTGCCATAGCATGCGGGAACACACATGTGCACACGCACGCACACATACACACACACACTGCTAAACCAAGGCTGGTCCTAAGTGTGTCTCACAAGAGAATACTCAGTAAGCTGCTTTCTATGAGCATTTAACTTCTCTATTGATACAGCAATTTCATTAGACTGCATTAGCAGGGGTTCCCATACCAACTTCTAAGCTGCAAGAGCAGTAGAGGGCAGGGGATGACGTCACTCACTTCCCCACTGCACTTTTTCCATCCCTGCATTGACATCACAAGAGAGAAAAAAGGAAAAGCCTGTGGACGGCTGGCCATGTTCTGCATTGGCGAGCCACTTAGCTTTGGGACAAGAGTAGGGATACCAGTTGTTGCAAACTCCAATCAGATCATTTTATAGAGTGATTCGAAATAATCACTACAGGCATCAGAATGAATAGCATTGTCACCCACATCTAAGCAGAATCCAAAAGATAAACCCGCCACTCTCCACAGGGTGCGCCACTTTTGCCCCTGCAAAGAAATCACTGAAAATATTTCTCCTCACTATTCAGCAACTATCCAGTGTACTTTTGGGAAAATACAGAAAATCTCATCTTGTCTCTGGTGTCAAGGAAAGGGGATCAAAAGGATATTTTCCAAAATCTTACCTCCAATCGAACACCTTCGAGCTATTTCCCAGTAAACCAGCCCCACAGAATAGATGTCAGCTCGCTTGAAGGACTCAAAGATGCTCACGTTCATTGTATCATCAAGCATTTCAGGAGCCATATACCTTCAAAAATGTGCACACTGAGATTCGGTCCAGTAAACCACAATCTTAATGCATCATGATACAAACATAAATTAAGGTCGCTCACATCAATTTCAAAGGTGCATCTCAGATACCGAAATAGGGGGAAATTAAAAAACATAGCTAGTGACTCAATCATCACTTTAAAACATTTTAACTAAAACTAAAGGTTATACAGCTTTACATTAGCGCAGGATCACCAGTAAGTGGTCTAGGACTTGGAAAGAATGAAGTAGGAAGGTCAACAAGCAAAGCGCACCACAACAGAAACAGAGCTCAACATCCCAAGAATTTGTCATCACAGAAAGTTCCTGCCTGACAAGGATGGGATTCACTCACCAGAGCAGGCTCAATCTCCAACACAAGGAAGGCTAGATGGTATTCCACAAATAGCTTCTCAGAATGAAGAATTTTACTATATACCTTGCCAAAAATACTATAGCCTTGTTTGAACAAATTTTAATGGTAGAAGTCCTGAAGTCAAAAGACCTGAATGAGCCTAATGGACCTGTACAGAGTTGGACGTTTCCCCAGGATATACGCTCTTGAGTTCTTTTCAAAATGTTCTCCCCCTCCCCACCCCTGAAAGGAAACCAGCACCCAAGCCATCCCTGAGGGCCCCCGATTCAGCAATGGTAAGGTGGGTGTTGTTCCTGAGAAAAGAAGAGGGATCGGTTAAGACCACCCATTCTCAACATGCCTCCCTGGAATGTCTGTGACATCAGTAATGTCAACCAGCAGACAGTAGACGGCTTGCGGGCACTGTCCTGAAATCTCAGCTGGCTGGGAGGCCAGCTCTACCTCCTTAGAAATGTGCTAGTCTAGAGCGCTTTAACAAGTTCAGGAAAATGTTTTGACTTTCGTGATTTCCAGGTCAAGAGCTCTGTAATTATGAAAAAGTAGCTTGAAGTGTGGAACCCAGGTAAAGGAGCTGGAAGAAGACTAGCTGAGGAGCCACCTGCTGGACAAAACAAGGAACGCGGCAGAAGTTTACTGACAAGCCTGTGGGAGCCACAGCTGTGTGTGCTCTGCTGCCTTCGGGCTTCCTCCTAGCTTTGTTAAATTGTGTTCCTTGAAAATGGAAACTGTGTTCAAATGCATATTATCTCAAAGTACATCATTCTGGGACACTAAAGGCAATTCCAGCTACAGATAAGATATAAACTGATACACTGTATCTTTGCTTGTTAAGGGAATAGGCTGTCTCACACTGATACATTGTATCTTTGCATATTAAGGGAAAAGACTGGACACCCACTGATACATTGTATCTTTGCTTGTCGAGGGAATAGGCTATCACACACTGATACATTGTATCTTGCATATTAAGGGAAAAGACCGGACACCCACTGATACATTGTATCTTCGCTTGTTAAGGGACTAGGCTGGCACACACTGATACATTATATCTTTGCATATTAAGGGGATAGACTGACACACACTGCTACATTGTAACTCTGCATGTCAAGGGAACAGACTGTCACACACATGGTTTTATTATCTAATGTCCCTAACCCATCTCCTCCAATGCCCTGGTTTTGCATGTGGTCTTTAAAACCGGAGCCTGTACAGCAAGCCCTGACTTGTAATTCCCTGGCAAGGCATAAAGGTGCTGTAGTTCCTACGAGGATCAGTATCAGCTTAGGGCCCCAAAGACCGAGTTCTTAGCACAAAGGAGGTTAATTTGTCCCAGAGGTTAAAAGGGCAGAGAATAAGATTCAAAGACAGGAGATAGAGGACAAGGGAGAAGGGGCAGGCATATTTGTACTGGGGCACAACAGATATAGTTAATAGAAAGAATATGGTTTATAATGGTAAAGGAGGAAACCTCGTGTTAGGAGAAGGTGCTTAGTTTTAACTGGGTGTGTTAGGTGAGCAAAGGGGCTGATGACTGCTGGACTCCAGTACTTTGATAGCTGGATCTTGGTACTCAGCCTCAGGAGGAGAAAGTAGCCAAATAAGGGAACAGACCTTGATGACAAGCTTTAGGGATGTAATCTGGGTTAGTAAGGCAGAGGGAAAGGGGGAGGAGTTCAAGGCCTGCTAGAGCTATTTGCCACTCTCGAGGTGGCTAGCGTCCATTCAGTTCCTATATACTACTGAGGTAGTTTCTCTTCTGCAGGAAAGACATCTGGAAAATTTGTCACATGAACATGGCATGCCATCGTCTTCTCCACCACTACCCACTCTAGACTCTGCACTCAAATGGCTGCTTCGTCAGGACAAGGAGTCAACCCTCCCACTTTGGGGTCATTTTGGCTTCTCAGTGTCTCCAAAAAGACTTCTTGCTTTTTCTAGGTCTCGCGGTTTTCACATTTGGACACACACCATGGGCAGTCCCCGCGTTTGATATAAACTTTAGTGAGCGACCAACGAAGGTCATCTTACCTCTTCGTTCCCACTTTGGGATTCTGCGGTATGTCTATAGTGTTCATGATGGAGTCATGCTTCACAGCCAGCCCTAAGTCAGCGATGGCACAAGTGTCACATTTTTTCACCAAGATATTCTTCGACTTTATATCTCGGTGAGCAATAGCAGGCTTACCTAGAAAATGTGAGAAGATTGTACGCATTTGTTCAACTACTGAAGACAGAGTCTCTTGAAGCAAAACACTTAGAAGACTTAACTCAAATATCTTCTCCCCAGACACATCTTCCCGGACCGTACCCCAAGCCCAGCAGTGCGACAGAGGCTTTGGAGAGACATTCAGTCTCCTAGCCAAACTCCAGGCTAAGCAAGGGCCATCTCTTGCTTTATACTTAAGCAGTTCCAGTGTACGGAACACCAGGTGACAGTTGTGGACATTCATAATCAGGTTTTCAATTCATGAGTTTAGGTTGCTACTACTTGTGATCCAAAATATGGCAAATGTTTTTTTAATAAAACAAATCTCAAAATTTTATGACTCTAGACTAGCAATTCCCCAAATGAGAACAGAGGATTCACTGGGTTCCTTAAAATGACTATATATCTACCTGCATGACTCATTCCACCGTTTCTCCGCTGACTTGAACTAAACCATATAGTGGACAAGTAGGATAAAGAGCATGTGCGAAATAAGCTAGTTATTAAAATTATTTTTAAAATTATAGACCAAAACCACTATTTCCACTACATTGCTTTATTTAAAAAGTTGTAAAACTCTTGGAAGCTGTTAGTCATATGAATATTTAATTGGCTAATTACAGTTCTTGAAATAAACAATTTTTTTAAATTTATCAATAAAGTTTTTAGTATGGAATGCATTAATAAATATAACCTACATTTACCAAAACTTTGGGGAGCTCAATAATTTTTAAGAATACAAAGGGGTCAGGAATCTCATGCTCTATTTAGACTAATCATTTTTGAGAGTCAGTTTCTTATAGTAAATTGACAAAGCAAAGGATATTATTTGGCTTTCAAGTATGATATTCAAATACTCTTTTTTATCTTTTCTAGACAGTTCCAGCCTAGTATGGAACTCACATGTTATCCAGGACTGCCTCAAACTCATGAGCATCCTTCTGCCTCAGCTTCCCACACCCACCTTCACATATTCTTTCATGGTTATTTTATCATTCCCAATCACATTTTAATTATCAAAAACTTATACCATCTGCAGTACATGACTATGTAGCCTTTGCCACCAAAATAAGACCTCTAATGGCATGGGAGGAGCCACTGGGGATAGAAATACATCATGAATAGCATGTGTGTGGTGCCAAGGATGAGAAAGTTGTTTGCTGCATGACAAGAACCTCACTTGCATGGCGTACCTCCATTGTTCCTCTGTGTTTGATGATTGCAAAGAACTGAAATACAATCAATACAAAGACCAGCTTTCTGAAGGAGATGCCTACCTTGGGTACCAACGATCTCCATATGTAGGTGAGCCAGACCGCTGGCTATCGAAAGGGCCAGCTTGATCATTCCAGCCACGGTCACTATGTTTCTATTCAAATAGTCATATAAGGAGCCCTGTTCGTGATACTCTGATACAAGCCAAAGTTGAGTCCAAGTTCCATTATCTAATGAGAAAACATTGTTTACAGTGGTAAATGTTGAGAAAGCATGCGAACAATTTTAACAACAATGGTCATCTGTGCCATTTATGAAGCAAAGTTAATTCTTCCAGCCAGGAAGCTGTGGTTGGGGAAGTATCAAGTTCTCAATGAGTTATCGAAGATGTAGGATATGGAAAAAGCTTCCATAGAAACAGAAAGATGTGGAAAGTGGTTCTAACAAGGGAGCAACTCTTTGCCTGCTTGCTTTCATCAGTAGTTGCTGTTACAGCTACCATCGTGTATGGGAAACTTCGAAAGATGCATTGTGGGAGATACTTCTGAGAGGCACATCTGGCCTCTGCCTTATCCTTTACTCTTAAGCTTTTAAGAAAGATTAAATCAATAAAAACAAGAAATATAACAAATTTACACCAACCACTATTATCACCTTGAGAGTGCTGATAGTCTAACAATGTCCATGATTTTTTCCTTTAAAAACAGGAAATTCTGTACTTCAAACAGTTGTATAAAGATCCGCATTCTGTGATACGATTGCTAGAGATTCTCAGACAGCACTCCCATTTAAACAAAAATCAAGGCAGCATTTTTTTAAAGACTTTTAACAGATGAGATCAGCCTGATGCTTCTCTATGAAGCAGCCCTTCAACAGTTAGTTGTCACTTCCTAAACAAAGTGTTACCAACAGTATAGGCAGCCCTGGCCAGTTCTAAGACTCAGATAGACTCTATGGTGAGCATTTTTGCTTAGAGGCTTTCCTCCCCGGTGCTGGCATGTTCAGGAACTGAATGGTATCGATCGATTTCATTTCCACAACCAGGCAGTATGAAAGCTTCATGACATCCAAAAGGCATTCTACTATAAAGTTCACTAAGAACCCACCATCCACCAACCTCACCCTCAGACTCTCCCTGCTAACTCCTGCACCTAACTATGCTCTCCCACAACAAGGTCTTTGTGAGTTAGGTACTCGGCTACAATGTAGTGTAAACATTACATGAATAAGGAATGTGTGAAGATGAAAGTGATATTCGAGATCATTTGGTATCTAAACAAAGTAACTGATAAGGAAGGATATGATTGAGAGAAGTCAGGTAAACAGAAGGAAACAGGGGCTGGAGAGATGGCTCAGCCATTAAGAGCTCTGGATGCTCTTTCAGAAGACCCAGGTTCAATCCCCAGCACCCACAAGGCAGCTCACAACTGTCTGTAGCTCCAGTTCCAAATAATCTGACACCATCACACAGACACACATACAAGCAAAACAGCAAAGCACATAAAATAAAATTATATTAAAAAACAGAAGGGAACAAAGATGAAAGATCACCTCTTTAAGTCAGATTTGTCTGTAATCCCAGTAAGCACTATGATTAAACTAGTTCATCAATATAAGTTAGGTGACTCATCACTACTGTGCTGGTTAACCTTACAAGAAAATAACTCAGCAGAGAAGAAGCGGTTTCTTAACCTTGGGACGGTGACTCTATTTTCAAAACTCTGGACATAGTGTACATGTATATGTCCTTAAGAACTTGGAAAGAGGGGCTGGAGAGATGGCTTAGCAGTTAAGAGCACTGGCTGCTCGTCCAGAGAAACCAGGTTCGATTCCCAGCCTCCACATGGTGGCTCACAATACTCTGTAATTCCAGTCCCAGGGGATCCAATGCCCACCCTCTTCTGGCTCTGCTGGGCACTAGGCACAGTCATGCATGCAGGGACACTACCCCAACATATAAAATAATAATAATAATAACAATTATAATAATTATAATAATAATAATTAGTAGTGATGGTCGTGATAGTAGTAGTATCTCAATTTTACTCTCCTTCCTTACAATTCTGGTCAAAATGTGAAATGAATGCTGAACCTCTCTTTTGCCATCTAGTTCTCATAAATAAAATCATGATCATGCTTCTATTAGACAAAACTATTTTTTTTTAATTTCCCAGGCAGTAGTAGCTAAGTAAAATGTAAAATTCATAGATAATTTAGCTTAACCTTTTTTTGTTTGTTTGTTGATGAGATTGTAACTGTGGCTCCATCAAAGTTCTTCAAAGATACTGAGACTGATTGAAGGTCTAATTTCTAACCTGACTGGTTGTGTTTTCTCGCTCCTATTTTCAAAGCTGGAACTCTGTTGGAAGAAGCAAGCAAACGGAAAAAACCCACTAACTACATCGCTTCCCTGCCCTGCATGGACGACATTTTAAGAGTCCTGACATTAAATGCCAGATAGATGATCTTTATTGTTCCAGGACATGAAAGCAATCGACAACGAATGACTCACCTGTCAGAGTTCAACTTCAAATTCTGAGACATGCTCAAGTTAACAATGATAGAAAACTCCGCTAATAAATAAACTCTTGTCTCATTCGCACAGTCTAGAGGGGACATGGCTGAAAACTGTTCTCTTGCACACAAACCCTGTGATATAGATTCCATCCCATTTGATAAACAGCAGGCACTCAAAATTCCAAGATTGTTCCACTGACTGTATGCTCGCTGTCCCCCCTCCCTCTCAGTCCGAAATGCTTCTAGATGTTTCCATAACCCAGGGTGACTCAAGACAAAAAAACAAGGCTAATGGATTTTCCGAGAACTGGCCCCAGCGGCTGATGCCTGGTACCAGTTACCTAATATCTTAAACACCAGCTTCACTGCATAATCACGACCCCACACTAGCTATTTGCTGCTGAGTTATGGGCATTTACTTATGGGAAAGGAAAAAAAGAATTTTCTTAATAAAGAAGCTAGAACATCATGTGTCTTCTTGAGACAAAGTGATGAGTCCCATCTGTCTTACAAGCAATCTCACGTATTTCTTCCCGACCACGGTGACAGTGACCTTACCTTTGTTGTCAGCGGCAATGAAGCCAAGGATGTTCTCGTGTCTCAACATCACCGTCTGATAAATTTCTGCCTCGCGAAACCAAGATCTTTCGTCTCTGGAGGAGAATATTTTCACGGCCACGTCTTCCCCACACCATCTTCCGTGCCACACTTCCCCGAATCGGCCTTTTCCTACGATTTCTTGAAGGACGATAGTCCTCGCAATTGTTCTTTGAACCAACAGAGGCAGACCTAGTCAAAGGAGAGGCAGACAGAGCCTTCAAAACAGCAGTCACAGCCATGATGCTGTTGCATGAAAAGCGAACACTTAAGCACATTAGTAACTTTACCAAGGTTGAAGAAATATGCACCATTCCAACAAGCTGCAAGGCCAAGGCATGACCTAGAAAATGTCCTAAATTATTCATTTCTCTTCTCTTATGCACAAACAATGCTTTCTGAACATAGCCTGATGCTGCAGATATCTGATTCCTAAGAACTGTGGCAAATCCCCTGGATTCCCCATAAAGCCATTCTGATTCCTAAGGACTCAAAGGGAAACATGCATGGCTAACACATAAAATAAAATACAGAGCTCCTGGGTACCACTGTGAAAGGAAGAAAATTAATTCTTTGTGGATTTCCTGCAAAATAAAATTAAAATGTGCATGTCGGGAATCAAATTCAATGACTAATAAGATAAGCATGTTACACTAAGAATACGTTGTCTGTGAAATAGGAAAACATGTTCTGTGGATCTGTAGACTGTTCATAATTGTTTGTTGTGGTTGTTTTGAGACAGGGTCTTGCTATGCATCCCTGGCCGTCCCGGAACTCACTACAGAGACAAAGCTAGCTTCAAACTCACAGAGTCCTGCCTGCCTCTGCCTCTCAAGTGCTGGTACTAAAGCTGGATAATACCATGCCCAGACTGGTTATACTTTTTAAAACAGTAACTATACTTCTAAAATTCTATCCTATAGAACTAAGTCAGAACGTAGAGAATCTATCTATATAAAGATAGTGAATACATTGTTGCTAGTAATAGTAAACAAAAATGAGCCCTTTCAAGTAAGAAGGCAATGTGAAATAAATCTTTAATAAATTAATTAATTAATTAAATAAATAAATAAAAAGAGCAGCAAAGAAAAAAAAGTTTTAATTAGCTGTAGAGCCTACAAGCCACAATAGCATGATATGATATGCAGTAGCAATAGTTATATATTGCCAAAACTACTTAATTACACCCACATAGAATGAGGAAATTTATGCCTGGTCTTATAAACCTAGTCACTTACTCATAACTGGTGAAGTTACATGTTTGAGGACTGCTGACCACCAGACCATGAATTTCTTGTTTTCCTCTGCTTTGAGTGGCCTGCAGTTGCTCTGAGCAAGAGATCCTGATGGTAGGGGAGTGTGTTCTGATGAGTCTGCAGCTCAAAGAGTCTGAGAACCAGGGCGTGGCCAGAGCCCTATATAAGCTGTCCTTGAGCACAAATAAAGTTGGCATTATTGTATCAAGAAAAAAAAAATATGGTGTATATACACAAGCACAGATCAGTAAAGGCCTGGGTTCCGATTTCAGCTACAGCATCTAGTCAACATGGTCAGATTATTTAACTTCTGTGAACTTTTGCACGCTCCTCTGCGAAACTGGACTGCGTGAGAGTTAATAGGCAGGTTAAGCTGCTAGCACTGTACCTGGCCTAATGCATGGTCAATAATGGTTACCCTCGGTCTTACAGCAGCATCTGCATGAATCATGGAAGAGTGACCCGAATGGTGTTGCTAACAGAGCTTATTTCAGTGACACTGGAGTCTACTCTGCTACAATGTCAAATGAGAACTGCATAGTAAATTGTATCTCTATGAGTTCGCAGCCTTTCAAACTGTGCATAGGAGAAAGACTGAACTGCATGGTGGAATCTCAGTGAATTATAATATTCTTCCTTCTCATTTGCTGTATTTTCAACGTAAGGCCCAGGAGAAGGTTTTATTATTCCTGTAATTGTTGTCAGAAAGCAAATAGTTGAAGCGGCTACAGGATGAGTATATTCTAGAAAGTCGGTTTAGTTACTGTCACTGTCCTCAGGCAGCCATAGAAAGCAATGTCCATGTGGCTCCTTGGGGGGCATTGTCCCCTGATCCAAGAATGAGCCAGTGTTTGCACAGATGTTCTCATCCCCACGAGAACCACCCACGATGGTAAATAGGCACAGACTATAAATTCACTGGTATGAGCCTCAACAATTAGTCAGCAAGCCCCACGGTCCGAAAGTTCTTTTGGAACCATCTGGTTCAACCTCATCATTTATCGATGAGAAAATTGGAGCCTGACAAGTAATTAGATTTGAAGAGAGTCTGCTGCTGCGTGAGGCTGACCCAGAGTGCATTGCGCCCCATAGGAGGACAGACCTGTGTTCCTCTCTGTGGGAAGGAAGACATCCAGCAACAAATAGCCAGGGTTATTTTTGTAGGCTTCTCTCAATGTTTTTGGCCCAAAGTGACACTAACAATTATTAACTCAAATCTCAGCATATCTCCCTCCCCACATCATCACCCACTGACAGAAAAAGAAAGAAGCCTATAAGACAGTGTTTCCACACTGCAGTTGATACACAATCCTATTGGTGGACAAAGAACATCACATCCTGTAAGGGGACCAGCGGGGTGAACCGGGTGAGACGCTGCTTTTTGGCAGCCTCAAAACCTTCCAAAGCGAATAATGAGATGAGACTGAGTAGTTTTTGTTCTACATAGCTTCAGACCGCTTTTGAACAGAAACTTTGCCTCTTGCCATGAGTTCATTTTAATCTTTTCACCAGGGATTATAGAAGCTGATGTCTGGCTTGTGTCACCATCTGTCAAAACGTTATACCGGAAGACAAAGAAGCTGGCTTCCTACTTCCGTAAAAGCTGCCTGAGACAAAGCCCACACTCAAGCACAGTCCAATAAAACACCATTTATTTTCACTTTGTAGTCTCTCTAACTCTTTGAAATTTGTCCCTGACCTGGTCAGGGATAAGCTTCGTAATCAGGGTTTTTCAATATCCGACAAAGCTGCCTCAGATTCAAGGTCACCAACCAATTGAGAAAGGCAGAAAGGAAGCAGGCTGGTCCAGTGTCCTCCCCACAGGCAAGCTATTGTGGGGGAAGCATTGCCGAAGGTAAACCTGTTCTCTGATGATTAAAGGCATGTGCTTTTAGCTAGGGGTCACTGCCAAGCAAACTGGCTTTGAAGAGACAAAATGCCTAAAGTGTGTTCAAATTTGTGCTTTAAGGAAATGTATTTATGAACAGAGTCTGGTGGTGCAGGCCTGTATTCTCAACTATTTGGGATGCTGTGAAAGGGCTAGCCTGGGAAAGTTCCTTGTCATCATCCCTCTACACACACACACACACACAGCCTAGGAATGTAGCTCAGAGTAAGAACACTTGCCCAATCCACACTGCAAAAACAAATGGAAATTATCCGGGCTGGGGCATGTTTTCTTCTTCCTTCCACAAGAAGTCTTAGTATAATCTCAAAAAGAAGAGTCCAGAAGCTGACAAATTCATATGCATGCTTGAAGATACACTTTTGAAGCCATTAAAACATTTAACAGGAATTTTTCTTTAGTTTTTATTGTTCAGTGAATAATACATATAAATATATAAATATAACCTGATTTGGTGTTTGTTTAATCATGGGGCCCCATGAGATTTTGGACTCCATGAGATTTACGCTTCCATGTCAGCATATTTAACTGGTATTGTCCTTATTCGGATCTTACTCAGGCAGTCATGTAGTTGAGGTATCATAGAGGCAGTTTCTCTGCCCTTTCTAGGAGACATGATCTCACAGAAGAGTTCCTGGTCCTCTGGCTCTTACAATCTTTCCATCCTGTCTTCTGTGATGTTCCCTGAGCCTCAAGTGTAGGAGTTGTTTTGTAGATGCATGCCTTGGGGTTGAGCACACTGGGATCAGTTGTTCTAGAAATTTGGAACAGTTGTGGCTCTTTATGGTCTTAATGGTCCTCATCTGCCTAAAACAACACTTCCTTGATGAGAGATGAGAGCTATACTAATCTGTGTCTGTGCCAACTATCAAAATTTTGGCTTTAGTGTTCAAGTCATGACTCCTTGTTATATATTTAAAAAGTTTAACAGAATTTCTGTATTTGTGTATGGGGAGAGCACCATAGGGAGTGTGTGGTCAAAAAAACAACCTATAGGTTGTTGGCTCTCTCCTTCTACCACATGGGTCCTTGGAAATGAACTCAGAGCTTCAGGCTTGGTGGCAAGCACCTTTCCCCAGTGAGCCATCTTGCCAGCTCATCACTCCTTTCTTAAATTAGTTATCTAGTCTCCTACATATTAATTTGTATTATTTTTACATGGAAGAAAAATCCTTGGTCAGATTCAGTACACTTAAAGAATAGAAAAATATAGACCAAAGTTTCTGTACAGCCCAGTCCTGCAGACATTCAGTCCCCAAAAAACACAGAGGTTTATATTAGTTATAAACTGTTTAACCTATTGCTCAGGCTTATTACTAACTAGCTCTTATGACTTAAATTTACCTATAATTCTTATTTATGTTCTGCCATGTGGCTTGGTTCCTTTCTTAGGAAGGCATTCTCACCTTGCTTCATCTGTTTCTGGATGATGACTGCATCCCTTGTCTTCCCTCTTTCCAGAATTCTCCTAGTCTGGTTGCCCCACCTATACTTTCTGCCTGGCTACTGGCCAATCAATGTTTTATTAAACCAATATAAGTAACATTATTCCACAGCAAACTGTGGCCATATTTTCTGGCAATTAGATATTTGGTAATCACTGCCCACATTCCCCCAAAATGGATTATGGATGTTTGTTTTTGTTTAGCATGTTGGTTACAAGTTGTTATGAATAATGGTGAGGGAAAACACTAAACAAAGGTGTATTCGGGGTTCCTGTTTTGAAAAGAAAAGAAAGGGAAATTCTGTGGGATAATGCTCTTGTGGGATAAAGATCTGTCACTCACATTAATTTAATAAACACTGATTGCCCAGTAGCCAGGCAGGAAGTATAGGTGGAGCAACCAGACTAGGAAAATCCTGGGAAAAGACAGAGGCATAGTCATCATCCAGCAGCAGAGGAAGAGAAATGAGAATGCCTTACTGAGAAAGGGTACCAAGCCACACAGCTAAACACAAGCAAGAATTATAGGTGAATTTAAATCATAAGAGCTAGTTAGCAATAAACCTGAGCATTAGGCCAACCAGCTTATAATTAATATAAGCCTCTGTGTGTTTATTTGGAACTGAATGGCTGTAACTTCTGTCTATAGGAAAATATATAAACACCATGACCAAAAGCACCATGGTTGAGGAAAGGGTTTGTTTGGTTTACACTTGCAGAGCACAAGTCATCATTAAAGGATGTCAGGGCAGAAACTCAAGGCAGGAACTATGGAGAAACATGGCTTGCTGGGTAGCACCCTGGGCTATTCTCATGTAGCTTTTCTTGTACAGCCCAAGACCAGATGTCCAGAGACGGTACCACCTACAGTGGATTGTGTCTTCCTGTATAAATTAGCAATCATTTCTCCCATAAACTTGCTCACAAGCCAACCTGATCCAGGCAATTGTTCAGCTGAGGCTTCTCCTTTCAGAAGACTCTAGGTTGTGTCAAGTTGATAATAAAAAAACTAATCAGAACACAACCTAATATCATCAAGTAAATGAAAATGTTTCTGTGGGTAATAAGTAGAAGGTTGTTCAATCCTTTGAAAATGATAAATGTATTTCTAGAAATTAAACATATATCAGAGTTCTTTGTACCCAGAATATTGGCAGTAAACAAAATTTTGGGGTATAGTAGGTCTCAACATATAATATCCAAAAAAATGGAGTTTAAATACTGAGGAATATTGTTTTTAAGATAAAAATGTAAGCCTTATAAACAATGACATAATTTGGATTCCAAATTGATATGTTTTGCAATTGCAGGATTTTTTTTCTCTCTTGGGTTTCTTTGAAAAAAAAAAATCTTCCTTGATGTTACAGTGACAGCCTGGACCATTAGACTCTTCTAGTCAGCAAATGTCCTTTTTTAGTGCATTCACGGTGTCCCCTGTTACGTATGGGTGCCCATATGAATGTGTTGGTGTTTCCCCACCTGCCCCTCTTAACTGTGTCTGCCTGGATGCTACTCATACCCACGTGTTGCACAAAGCTCTGTGTTTTGTTTCTTTTATTTCACTGTTTTCAAGGCAAAATTTTGCTACATAGCCCAGGTTGGACTCTCAACTTGGGAGGCTCCTATGACAGCAGCCCTAATACTGAGAACATAGACAGAGACCAGCATCCATTCCTGGCTGGAACTGTGACTCTAATGATCCTTCTAAAGCAACGAGAGATGTAGGCACTTCTGAAGTGGCTGTCTGGGTGTGCTCTTGGTCATGTTTCTGTAAAGTCAAGGGCCAAGGCTTTCTAGAAATTCAGAATGGAAAAGAAGTCCTTGGAACTGCAGGGAAATTCCGCCCTGCCCCGACTCCCCGACTTCAACGTTTTGTGCTATGAAAGGGACTCTTTGATTCTGTGATGCAGTCTGGCCCCTGGAATTCTCCATCAGCTGTCTAAATTGATTAAAGGAGAAAACAGAGCACTCTGTGCTGTGATAGCAGTGAATGGATAACCTTGAGCCACAGGAGCCAGTTAGGAATGCCCTGAGCTTCCTTCATCATCTCTGGGCTTCCAGAGCACCACTATGAGTTAATTCCAGCACAGCTCCTTGTTAGCTTTGAAAGCACATCCTGAGGGAATGCCTACAGATTCGGAAGGCCTTGGGTGACCACAAATATCCACAAGGAACACTGCTTTGTTATCTAACACATTTCCCCATATCTTTTGGACTTAAACCCAACACCCCAACTGCCCTGTTTCTATGAAACAGCAGAAGAAAGCAGCAGTGATGGTTTTGACCATTATGGGAGGAGGTAGAGGACAAGAGGAAAGGCAAAACAAATAAGCAAAGAATCAAATCCCAAGGCATAAAAAAGAAAAAAAGCTTCACCAGACATATGAGAAGACTCGATTGTAACAATTTTCTAATTTTTAAGTAGGAATTTTTTAAAATTATTCGTATATCATAGCATGATATTTTGATCATGTTTGTCCTCCCCCAACTACTCCATGTTCGTCCTCTGTGTGTGTGTGTCTGTCTGTCTGTCTGTCCCCCTCTCTCTCTCTCTCTCTCTCTCTCAATCTCTCTCTCTCTGTGTCTGTCTCTCTTTGTATGTGTGTTTATTGGGGGGGGGAGGTCTATATGCCTGTTTCTCTGTCTCTCTCTTTAAAAAGAAAAGAGGATGGGGGAATGGAATGCAGTGCTACAAAGAGATAAAGGAGAAATTAAAGTAATATTAAATGGAGGAGGAGCAGGGTAAAGGAGAGAATGTGTGAGGTACAACTAATCCTAAAGGCCCTTTGCAACGCTATATGGAAGCCTGTTACTGGAGACAATTCGCATGTAATCCTTAAAGACATTTCTATTCATAAGCTTATTTATTATGTACCTAATTGATCCCTAGCTGATGAGTTCACATTGGACACTTTTATCAAAAAAAAAAAGGTGTTCGTTTATTTTTAAACAAGAGTTTGCTTGCTGAAAACAGACACATACCAGAGCCTGAACCTGAGGCGGTGGCATCATAAATCAGGTCTTTGAGTGTTTTTCCCGGGTTTACCAGGCTGTACTCTGCCAGAGGCTCCTCAACGTTGTGTCTCTTGGTCTTTCTGTATGTGCACTGGCGGTCCTGGCATGCCCATATTGTCAGCATGGCAGCTATGGACAGGAGGCAAACAGGCACAGTAATGACAATGGTCAGCTCCGTGGGGCCAAGTCTGGGAGCATTTGGCGATACTGCAGTTTAAAAAGAAAGAAATGGAAGAAAGAAAGAGAGAGAGAAAGTTATAAATCAGTTCATGTAAGATATTTTAGCATTTTTTAAAATTATTTTTTCTGTTTAGGTATTGTTAGAATTTGTTGGCAAGGAATATTTTTTAGACTTTTGTAGTAATTCTAAGATCACACATTATTTTATTTTGGGAAAGCGTCTCAAGTAGCCCAGGTTAGCCTGAAACTATGTAGCCAAAGATGGCCCAGAGCTGTTGATCCTCCTGCTTCCACCTCACCAGTACTGGAATTATAGGCATGTATCACGGGCACAATGACGTATCTGTATTCAAAGATACATATCTGTAGTACACACTAAGCCATTCATGACTTTGTATGTAAGTTGAAAAAGAAATAGTTTAAAAGCACTAACTTTAAAAAATATTTTGGAAATTCCAAGTGCAGTCACCAAAATTCCTCAGCTAGATTGTTCAACCATAAAAGCAGAGATTTAAGTTCACTGGCAAAGACCAGAGTGCAAGCAAAAATAAAGGGAAAAGTGAGAGGTGACGGCACCTATGACAATGGCAGGGGGAGGCAGGGGTAGAGAAAAAGCATTGACTTGGAAGATTTAAAAAAACACACACACACACACACACACAAAATATTTGATGCTCTTAATTTTACTGTTTTCTCCTTGTTCTTCAGCAGTCCCATCCTGATAGCAAATCTATCCATCTGTTCATTCATTCCCCAAATACTCATCAGGGATGTGAGGGCAATCTGGCTGCGACATCTGTCACCCCATTGATGGCCAGGGTTGATTCTGCTGATCTGGCTGGCTAGGCGGGTGTTCCCTTCTTCCTTCACCGCTCCATGTGTGTCCCCCCGGAAGCTGCACGCTCGGTCGAAGAAGATGACCTTCCCCGAATAGAGGAGGACCGATCTCCAGTCAAGGGTATCCGAGTAGCTGCGCTCCCGTGCTGGAACCTCCAAATACTCATCAGGTTCTTGGAATATGTTGCTATTATTCCAGGTGCCGGAAATAAAATGGCGAGTTAAAGAGCCCAATCCTCTCTCTCTGCACTCGTGAACTCTCATAGATACAGACAGCTGAACAGAGGGCTGCGGAGCGGGAGCGGGAGCGTGGATAAATGCTATGAGGTTGAATCAGCAGAGATGACATCGTGATAGCACGATGTCACTGTAGACTGGGTGGCCCTAGAAGGCCTCTCTGCAGAAGTATCATGGAGACAGGGAAACAAAGCAAGAATGAATGGCAGGCAGGGGTGCACAGTCCCAGAGTGGGGGCGGGGGAGGGGGGAGTGCGAGGGACCCGGAGGTGGACACCTATTTGGTCAGTTTGGCAAAACATCCTAGACTTGTACAGAGAGAAGTCATGGAAGTGGGATCAAGGAATTAAGGAGAAATTTTGTGTGGTTCATTGCAGGCTAAGGGAAGGAATAGGGGTTTCATTTTCCTCGGAAGCTGTGTGAGGTTTGTAGATAGGGTCAAACTTTTATTCTGAGTGGCCACTGTGTCAATAGATACTTGGAACAAGAAGAATGAAACCTAGGTCAACAAGCCTGGCAGAAGGCAATGGTCTCAGCTGACAACCCTACCAAAAAGCACTTTCATGACGCTGGACCCAGAGCAACAAACATGTACTCCCAGACACAGAGGGACAAACTCAAGGCCAGCCTTGGTGACATAATTTAATCATCTCAAAATTTAAAAGAAAATAAAAGTAAAGTTTTAAAGATTTGAAAAGAATCTCTTCCCAGTCTCCACTCACTCTCTGGAACCTTCTTATGTTCCTGTTGGGGCTACTATCACCACATGGCCATCAGGTCATTCGCTCCTCCATTATCTGACCTGATTGTCTCTGAGGAAAAGGAGGAAGCTGCCTGCGGTATTCCTAGCTGAATCCCCAGTGCTTACAACAGTGTCTGACACGTAGTCAATCCTCAGTGAGGAGGACATAACCAACTGTCAGGGATCCTGAATGTCTGACTAGTTTTATCCCTTGTAAGTAAAAGGCCTCTCTCTCAAAATCATCAGTGTGATCACTGAAACCAAATACTAGACAGACATAATCAGGACAGGGAAGATGGCTTAGCAGGTCAAGTACTCTCTGTACAAGTGTAAGGGACAGAGCTCCCATCCCCAGAATCCATGTAGAAACTGAGAGCATATAGGGACCTGCCTCCCTGTAACCCCAGCATTAAGGGACAGAGGCAGGATCCTCCTCAGAGCAGACTGCCTAAGGAGACCAGCCAAATGACCAAGGTCTAGATGCAGTGAGAGACCCTGCCTTAATATATAAAGTGGAGATCAACCAAATTAGACACCTGATATGAACCTCTGGCCTTCAGATACACACACACACACACACACACACACACACACACACATTTGAACAAGCATCCACACAGATACAAATAAGGAAAAAACATATTCTTTATTGCTATCTTCTAAATAGAAAGTTCATCTTGCACTTCAAATTTTTCTTTTACATTTCCAAAAACATTGACACACAGGAAGTTCATGAAGACAAACACTTTCTGTCATTAAGCAGTTAACTCCCCTGTGCCCCTTGAAACCTGTGTGCTGTTTGCTTCCCTTTGGCTCACTGAAGATTGCCTCTTGAATTTTATAGTCATGTCTTCTCTCCAGCAGTGCTGATCTTTAGTGTTTGTTTTGCTTTTTAAAACTTTTACTTATGTATGTTTGTGTGTGTGTGTGTGTGTGTGCCTGTTTGTGCAACATAAACATTCAGGTGCCTGTGGAGGTCAGAAAAGGGTGTTTGTAGGAACACCTGAACTGGGGTTATAGACTGACTGTGGGTGCTGGGATCTGAACCCAGATCCTCTATTAAAACTGTATATGTTCTTAACCATTGAACATCCTCTCCATTTTTTGTTTTTAATAAGCCTTGGGATACATTGACAGATTGTTGCAACAGAATTTAGGAGATTTGAGTTCTCAAACATCAAGAAGATGGTCCTAAACTTCTGGCGAAAGAGCAGTTCTTCTTGGTTAAGGCTTGCCTCCCTCTCTAGCTGAACCTTGGGATAACTGCAGCCTACACACACAGAGTAGGCTCCATCCTGGCTAGGAAAGGTCCAGCGACCATCCACTGAGGGCATAGCACCTGTAATTAAGAGTCCAAACACACGGCTGACAATGGGCTTTGGGAGTTATGCTCAAATGTCTTCATTTTTATTGTCATAACTGGAGATCTTAGTGCATTGTTGATACTTGAATTTCACTCATGAGATAGCAAAATATATATGATAAATCATTGAAAATAATTAGTTTTGAGAGAAAAGCTATCCAGCTCCTCTCCAGTGTCTTCCTAGGGGTTTCCATGCAGCTGCCAGTCAGCTCTCAGAGGGTAAAGGGCTCTGAAGCACAGGCCAGGCTCTCCTGCTTGCACAGTATGCTTTAACCGGCCACCACATACCTCCTGCGTTATTTCCAGACTCCTCTGGGACCACTAGTGTTTGCACAGGTAGATGGAGAGGTCAGCCTGTAGCATTCTTCAATGGGTGCTAAAAGTGTTCTCTGACAGCTTGGCTTCAGAAATCCTTACCCAAATCCTTGTGACTTTTGAAGTCTGCCATTGCTAAAGAACATTACCATCCCTTCTACAACATCATTCTATTTCTCTGTATCCTCATAAAGGATCCTAGGTGTTCTCAAAAGCTACCGAGTGTATTCATCTTCTGAATTAGGTCTTTTTTAAAAATATCCTTTTTCACATGCTAACATCTCCTAACTTCAATTCCATCATTGGAGGCATTCATATAACAACATTTAACGTTGATATCTCCTATCAAAAGCCACCAACATAAACACTGGCCTTAAAAGGCTATTGCTTGTCTTCATTTTGGTAAAGCTCTACTCAGCAGAGCTCAGCTTATCACTATGGCAACTAATAGAGACAAAAGGTCAACAAACCTGAAATCAGGGTCACCTGCCATAGCGCCAGCAACCACTCTGAGGGATGTTTACCGTTGATGGCCAATGTTTCTCCCCCTTGTGAGCAGATCTACTGATACAAGTTAGTAAGGGGCAAAAAGAGATTGCTCAGCTACAAACAAGCGAGCTGCACCATCCAGCAAGGACTCCTTAAACACTGAACAATTCGTAAAACCTTGCCCTGAGCAAAATGTGCCTTATAATCCTAATAGGAAAGAAATAAAGAAAAAGTGTGCCTACAGCCAATGAGTTGGGATAGAAGACAACCATAGTAACTAGGAAAGCATATTAATAAAAGATGGCCTTGATACAAATACCACTTTTGGAGCAAGTCCTGTGTTCTTGAACACAGGAGAACTTACTATTGACGATTTCTAGTAAGAGTGGGTTTTTTGGTGCCTGTGGGGGTACAATGACCACGAAAAGGGTAGCTGCAGCAGGGGCCATGCGACAGCTCACTGCTGAGGTCTGGCAAGTGCTGCATGGCTAATTCAAAGCATCTCCTTCCCAAGGCAATTAAAGAAAGAGAATGGAAAAGACAAAGGTACTAGCCCAGCTGTGTGAGAATCCTGCTCACGAACATCTATCTCCAAAGAGATCTGGGAAGATAAATACGACTGTCCTTTATGTATTCCTGGGTACTCATTTAAAATTCACACTCAAGTCCCTTATATAAAATGCAATAGCACTTTTACATAACCCACACACCACTCCTCCACAGGCTTTAATTTGTCTCTAGATTACTTCCAAAAACTAATACAATGTAAATGTTATGTCATGGTCACATGGTGTAAGGAATCATGATAAAGGAACCATCCATAGCGGGGTATATAAACACATGTTTTCCTAAATACTTTCAGGATGCAGTTGACTGACTCTGTGGAGGCAGAACTCGTAGATTTGGAGGGCTGGATGTCTTAATAAAGTGAAGAGAGGGGGAAATGGAAGGGAAAGCTGAGGGAAGAAGGGAGAGAGAAAAAAGGGAGGGAAGGAAGGAGGGAGGGGAAAAAAGAAAGGAAGGAAGGAAGGAAGGAAGGAAGGAA